CGGTGACAGGCTAAATAATTTCTCCGATTTTAACCGGCTATTTATAACTAACACACGTTTCCAGTACCACAGGAAGCATCTTCTTAGCTGGTACTCTAACGACGGCATAACAACCCAACAGATCGACTATATACTGATACGGTCAAGTTGGATCTCACCAATAGAAGATTGTAGGTTGTATCGCGATGTTGAAGCTGATAACAGAGGTGATTCTGATCACATGCTCGCTCGTGCGAGGCTTCACCTTAGACTGACTACTCGTGTTAAGACCACCCCTCCAGATCGCATCAACGTGGGTCCATTAGAGTATAGCGAGAAATCGAAAACACTTATGGATGAAATCAAAACTCGACTGGCAAATGAGTCTGCTCCACTCGTCAACGTGGGAGACTCCATTGATGTGCAGTGGTCCAGGATAAGAGCTGCACTAAACAAACTCGGTACCACGAAACGTTGCTACAAAGAGTGGATAACAGACGAAACCATCCGTCTCTCAACCCTAGCTAGGGACGTCCGTCTAGCTGGCCACGAAGATTACCAGCGACTCAAACGTAAAGCAACCCGCTCCGCAAGAACAGATCGGTGCAACGACTGGAGCGAAATAGCGATTAAGATGAAAACCGCAGACAGTGCATGGCACTTCCGAGACCTCTTTCGCCTCAGGTCTACGACCACTGGTGTTTAGATTCATCCCGAAAGTAAACCGGAGAGACAGTGTCTCAAACTCGGCCCTTAGAAACTGCTGCCACCTTGCTCGTCTTTCAACGCACATTCAACGCCGCCGACTACAATGACGGGGCCATGTTCTCCGCGGACCCGACGACACATTCACAAGTATTGTCTTGGCACCGTCACCTTGTCCTGGCTGGCGACGCCGACTAGTGGGCGAGTAAAAACCTTATTGGACACTGTATTTGAAGACGTCGACTAACTTGACCTTCGGATGGTATACGGTACCCGCGAGGGAAAACCAACTGGATCCACATTTGCAAGTATCTTGCAGCCAACCGCCAAGTATGGGCAGCGGCATTCAGAGACATTCATGGAGTTGGCTTATCCTCTCCGAGGAGCCACTCATCGTGAAGTAAGTAAAATATATAAAGAAGTGATAAGTTGGACAGCAGCAGCATTGAGCCAATTCATGTGAACTTACGGAATAAGTGAGGCGGAAGGCACCCCATAAACCTGGGAGATGGCATAATGCAGCTGTGCTAGTGAGCGAACCAAATCCAACTGTGCATCGGATAAAGATTCTGGGTTGAAGTTTATCCAGGAACTCGGCTCCAGTTCAGTTAGCGCTTTCGATGCTAACGAAGGAAGAGTGCATCTGAGGACAACTAGTACTTCCGGTAGCTCGGTGTTCTACAGAAAGGCAAAAAATATTATCATTATAGGGCACATATATTTTGTGCCAGTATCACGAACATCGTTATCTTTCACTTTTTACGTACTTGCATACCTTCAAAAAAGAAACATTATTCAGTTAATGATAAAAATAACCCGCGATGAGAAGAACAACATTGCAACCCGACTGCATGATACACATAAAGTAGACAAAATATTGAAAATTGGTTTTGGTAGCTCGCGTGAACCGAATTCCATTTCGCCTGTTCGCCGAGCTTGGAAATGTGTTTGCAGACGTTTCATCACCAGCCGAGGTGGCATCATCGGTGCTTGTGAAGTGGCCACGTGTCGGCGTTTTCCTGAGAGTCCTGGATGCGTAGTCGTGTATTATCTCCATTAGCACCCCTGTGGCATGCATTCCGGACAAATTACTAGACCGTCATCAAACCAATAAATACTACCATCAACGCCATAGAAAAACGTCTACACGTTTAGTCACTTTCTCAATCCACGTTTGACACTACCAATAAAATCTCGTACTGTTTGCAACTGTCTTTTAACTAGGTTCGTTGGGATGCGCCTCGTGGGACCAGGTTCTGTGTTCTGTTCATTAGCTCTTGCGCGTGCACTTCAGTTGTATCACAAATTTCCACTGGAAAACAGATTACGGTCTAACAGAAGAATTTTATACTGACTTCAATAAATCTATGCCAATTTATATGTATAAGTGTCTGTGTATCGATCTCATTAAATATCTCATTTCTCGGGTCACTTACTACTACTACTAATTAATGGTGAAATTATTGGGACTTATCTGGTGTCCCAAACGTAAACAGATGGAAATAATTCAACACATACAACAAGCATAAGTGTCAACTTACCCATGTCGGAACATAAGCTGTCATCTGTCTTGTGACACTGGAGCCCAAGCGTGATTCACTGGAGCGTAACATCGATGGTCGTGCATTCTGGTCAACCTGAGCGGTACTGGAATCTTCATCCTCGTCGCTATCGGAATGTTCGCCGTCCTCAGTAGACTTAACAATGAGTGGCGCGGGAGCTTTCAAAGGTCGGGGACAAGGTAGTCCGGGAACGGATATTGCACGCATCAGAAGCCAAGCAATACAATGAACAGCCTCGGCCGTATCACGGCCAGTCATTACAGATTCACCGTAAGCTAAGTTCACAGCCAGAGGTGACAGAGGTATAAAAAGCGGTTTTTCGGTTTCCGAATCGTCCGGTTTGTCGACGTCCATCTCATCCTGTGGCTGAGTAGGAAGGGGTGAATCAGACGTATTGGTTCCTCGTAATAAACGAGGCAATACAACAGTAACCAGAAGATAAAGGAGATCTATAAAAAGAACAGAAAATGTAGATTTTAATGGCAAATTGGACTGTACAGTTGAACATCAAACAACAAAAGGACAGTCCACAGAGTCCAGTGACACTTACTGATTGAAGGAATCAACAACGGAGTGGTTGCAACGGAAGCACAAGACAGACATGTGCGGACGAGTGCGAGCATGGTTGGGCGCGAATCAAACAGACGAGTACCGATTCCGCGAACGATACGCTCGCTAACTGTATAATCTGACCCGTTGGACACCAGAATGTCGTTTAAGGCGAAGACAAGCATATTTTCCAACGAAACATCTTTACTCTGTTGGTAGGCGCATACAAAAAAGCACATGAAAAATGCTGATTATGATAGTCAAACCATGAAGAAAACAAGATGGCTAAACATCGAGCCGACTTACGAAGGTTGGAAAGGAAGATACCCATCGCACCGGGGTCAGAATAAGTTCGATAAAAGCCCGAGTTTGAGCGGGTCGAGCAAATTCTACCGGATCAAATATTTGGGGTGCGTTTGGATCTGCTACGTTGCTCAAAAATCCAGCGGAAGGTGGTACTTGGCGATCTATAAACTGAGCGAGCATTCGAAAATACTGATGACGAGCCAGATCAAGATAGAGCCAGGAAAGATTCGCATGTAACGTTGTCAGTGAGGAGTTTTTTCCCTCTCCATGGTTNTGGTTTATATTATAGTTGACGAGGAGGTTTTCCAGACATCGAATGGGATGCGCGTAGTCGGACGAGGGCGAGTGCGAAGGTAGATTGCCAAGATATCTAGGCATGTGAAAAGCAATGTGAGAAATAAGATCGACATGAATGAGATTGATCAGTGGCATAATGAAGAAGCCCACTATAGTCACATCCGGCTAATACCACCCCTCTACAAAGGCGCCACTTTTCAAATCACGGATTTATTATACCATTACCTACCACCAACCCTGCGGTTTACGCACCAGAACCCTCAGTGGTAAAACTCATGAGGTCAGTCTTNCAAGTGTGGTTTGGGAATCGGCAACGGTTGAGATACCTACAACAAAAATGGATTAATATTAGACGGGTTCGAATATCAAAACTTATGAAGCCGGTCAAAGGATCGCCCCGATCAAAGCCAACACCATATCATATGAATTCCGTGGAAACAAATATATTTAATACGATAAAGTCCAATTATCAAACGGCTACTTAGCTCCTGAAAAGCATCACTCTTAAAGCGATACCAGTAGTGAAAAACACGTTAAAATGGCATTGGTCAATCTCACGGCCGATGTTTTCAAAATTGAGCAGGGTTATTTCATTCAAAGAAACTGGGAAAACACTGCGAAATTTCGAACATACACATTTATCAAACCGAATTGAATTTTCGTGTGAATAACCATCACTTCAGTTCTTACAAACATTAACCATGCACTTTCGTGCGCCGGTTTTGGCTGCCCATTTGGAT